TCCAGCGTACAATAATACGAAGAGCTCATTTCGCTAAGATCTTTCATTCAACGCCCCTCTCGTAAGCTGTTGAGAAATTTTGCTGACGAAAAACCAAAATAATTTGAGCAAGGGGAAGTTGGCTCAGAAGAATGAGTCAAACAATAAGAATCCAAGAAGCGAATAAGTGGCTCAAGTGCTATACCTGCTCTCTATATTCTCCATTGGCTAGGCGTTGCCTTGAATTCGTAATAACGTTAAGCATAGCGTATGGCCGATCATTTCTAGCCGTCTTGAATACGGGATCATTAGCGACACCGCCAATTATCTCCACTCTGTTCAAGCTAAAAAAAAACTTGTGAAACCTTGTGCGAAACCCTTTGAAGGGGAAGGAAATGACGAAAAATTTAACCTGTAAGCATTCCCTCTCCGCTCTTGTGGCGCGCTGTCCGCATTATCCGCAAACAAGGCTTCAACCTCAAAATTGTATGATAAGGCATTGGGAAACGAATTCTTCTCAACCTTTCTTCACAACTACCGAAGACGCAAGACGAAACGTACTTCCTTCTTAGTGGGCTGCTCGGTTGACCTCGACGCTGATATGGAGAAGTTTCGAGAGGCTAATCGGGAAACAAGTGAAGTAGCACGCAACATTTCAGCTGATATAAATTCCGTAATTAGTCATCGCAACAAAAAGTTAAGAAGTACATAAAATGAACGAAGTTATGTTGCCCAGAATATTCGATCAGAACAAAGTATAAATGTTATCTCGCACTGAAGATTTCGCAATCTGCCGAAAGCTGGGCGAAAAACAACCAAACAGAACCGTTCAGACTTGCTCACACCAAGCTAGGAGTAAATCATATGCATATAGACATTGCGCTTTGATGAACTTTTTATAGCTCGCTTCCATAACCTTAGCAATCTTTTGTTTACTGCATCTTCAATACATGCATACTAAAGTCGTTAAGGTAAGATCAAAGAATATCACCGAAATGACAAGGATGATGAAAAACGAATGGGCGGCGTCATCTCTCTCTTCGGGAAATCATATGTTGTCAGCTGCGACTCTTCACGCTTATTTAATGAATACGATTTATCTGATAGAAATGCCAGCTAAGTAAAAGAGAAATAAACAAGTAGATGAAGACCGCAATCCTAAACTGTGGCAATTGCAATGCAATCCCCTGCCTCCATGCTCAGTCTAGCAGAAGCAGTCCGAGCTGCGTAATGGCAAGAGAACTATGTGGCTAGAGAAACAGCAACCTTAAGAAGACCTTTATAAGATTTTTTAATGTCCACACGGGCGGGACCCATCCGAGCTTACTAGTCGGGAAGCTCTTGGACGGAATCAGCGTTAATTTTAAGAGCCGAGTGTTATTTTAGAGCGGAGGTTCTGTAATTGACTTCATAGTATGTCAATGGGAGCATTAAATCGTAGATAGACCAAGATCAAAGGTTTCCTGAGCTTCACTGGTTGACATTTTCTTTGTCCGGCCGTAAGATGGATTGCCTAACTTTTGCAGTCCTTTATTCGAAACTGCTAGCTTTCACGGAAACTACTGGAAATAGGAACTGGGGCCCGGTTGGACGGGCGGGCACTTTGGTGCAATATTTCGTGACGACTGCACCAAACTAATTTCTGGATTTGAGAAAGCTCTGCGGTGGGTGAGCCGATTCGCTTATGCAAAAAAGGAACTAGGTGAGTGTTACAGTTTTTGAACTTTATGTTGGAAAATTTTCGTCTGTGATGGTAAATGCTCTGGGCTCTCTGCGTCGAATGCCTCTCCAACTATATTTGAGCTTAGAAACTTTTTTCTCAAACATTAAAGGGTATGGCCATTTCCTCATAGCACATCCTCAATAGGGTGATTCTAGCCGCTTGTAGATGATTGAAATATTGACTGGTATGGTCGCTTTAGTTGGTCAAGAACGTGCTGGGGGCATATTTGAAAGATGAATGTCAGACTGCGATCTCAGCTCGCTGGCGAGTTGCGCAAATCGCCCGTTTGTTGTTTGACACCTGCCCAAGGATGGGGTCATACTTTTGCAGTACGGATCGTGCGATCGCATGATAGCACAATCGCATGTGATCGTAGATCGATATATATCTACTGCACGAAAAGAACGCAAATTCGCAGAATCTTAAGCTCACGAGGTATGACCTGATCCCAGGCAGCGTGAATAGCTCACGATTTGGAGGTTTTGGCGATTCCATTGATGGAAACATAACATATATCAGATGAGAAGGGCGGCTGGAGCGTTTAACACATTGCGTACCGCGTGCGCCACCATGTGGCGCACGATTTCAAGCGAAAGATCATAGTTTTATCTGATTTATTTGGCATTTTTCAATGCTCCTGAAGTGTTTGCACTCATTTTCAGAGCCAGGAAACATAAGTATCATCACTGATAAAATTGTTGATAGATTAATGATGATTCATTTTTTAAAAACATAAAAAAGGTATGGAGGTGCTCGTATAAGGGCGGTCCGCAATGTGTTAAATTGCATTTTAGGTGCGCCCAAAACAACACATGTTAGTCGAAACATAACGCAAAACGAAGAAATAAAAATAAATTTGATGGTTTTCGAATATTAGAGCGGAAATATTCAATAGTGCAGCGGTGAAGAATCTCATTAAAAACTGGAATGGGAACCAGGGTAACCGATCACGGTACTCGAACGAGTGCGTCGCATTTGCGATTTCAGGAAGGAGGGGGGGGGGGTCGCATTTGGGACTGCGAATGACAAAATTTCGGAAAGGAGGGCTGTATATTTGGAAGTCGAAGGGGTTGTAGTTGGAAGTTGAGGGGGTTGTGGTTGTGAGAAAAGGGTTGTTTTTGACGAGTTTTTCGACGACTTTGGGGTTTTTGGGCGGAGTTTTTCGGAAGTGGAGTGAAATATTCAACATTGGTGGATTTTCTGCTTCAGAATGTAGCTATG